CTCCCGGGGCCCGCTCCCTCCCTCCCCTCTTCCTAATTAAACTGCAGGTGAACCTGCCAGGGTCTGGCCCAGCGCCAGGCGCTAAATGGCTCTCTGCAGATCGCGACTTGCCTCCGTGTGCCTCCCGAGTGTGCCGGGGACAGCCTGGAGCCCTCGCTCCGAGCACGCGGCTCCGCATCCGCCCACGGCGCTCTGAGCCGGAGCCCGAGCTGCTCTGCGGGCTGCCGGGAGCCCCCCCCACCCCTGCATCTCCACAATGTCCCCAGGGCCCCGCTTGTGCCCATCTGCTGGGGGCAAGTCCAGGGGATGCGGACACCTATGGAGATGCAGCTAAGCCCTGGCGGGCTCCTCCAAAGCACCTGCGTGTGCTCTGGGGCCAGGTGGGCTAAACCCGCTGTTTGCCTGAGGGTGCCAAAAAGCCTGCCAGGAGCCCAGCTGCAGCTGCTCAGGGCCAGGCACCGCGGTCTGCGGGCACGGGGGCCTGGCTGAGGCTCTGCAGAGCCAGCGCTGGGGTCCTGAGCTCAGCAGCGTCTCTCTGGGTAGACGTAACACCTGCCTCACTCACATACAGCAAAGCCTGCCCCAACTTCTGGCTCACAGCTGGCCGGGCCCCAGGACCTGTGTTTTCCCTGTGTTTCAGGGAGTTCCCCCCTTGTTGCTGTAAGAAATCAAGGTTTGGCTATGGCCCCGTGGGCTCCCTGGCCTCAGGGAGCCCTTCTAAGGATGCAGAGCCTGCAAACCTCAGCCATCCTGCCAAAGGCTACTGAAACAACTAGGGGGATCCTGCACACCAGAGCTAAGTCCCTTCCAGCCCCTCAGCCTTGGGGGCCTCCAAGGCAGCCCCGCCACTCAGCCAACAGCTCCATAAGAGATGGGGACGGGGTTGGGGTGAGCAAGGGGTAATGCTCCAGGCAGAGGCACCTGCTGGATCCCTTGGCCACATCTCCAGCAGCCTCTGCCCAGCAGCTGGACAGCCTGCTGGCGTTGCACCCAGCCCAGGGAGAGCGTTTGCACTAGATGTGCAAGCAGGGCCGTGACAAGGGCTCAGTGACCCGCTGCCATTTGCAATTTTGTTGTTGGCATGCTCCTGGCACAGTTCAGCCCAGCCAAACCCATGATGCCCAGCAGCCCCAGGAGGCTGTCGGAAGGGGCACATACCAGGGGCTGCTCCCAACAGGCAGTTTGGATGCAGCCACCTTCTTTGTGGGGGGAGTTTAGCTATATGGATGCAACCGTGCTGCTTATACTCAGAGCTGAAGAAGGGTCCCAGTCTCAGTTACTTGTGCAGATGCAGCCACCCACATCCATCCCTCCACTTCATCCTTCCACATCGACCCCCTGGTCCAGGAGATGACATCTCTGCTGGCCAGCCCAGCATGTGGAGGGAGTGGGAGGGAGTGCAGGAATGAAGGGTCCAGGGACAGGATCGGAGGGTGGCAGTAGGGGAGTGACAGTCTGAGGGAATGGGAAGAAGGGTGATGAGGACGGAGGCAGCTGGCCAAGGAGCTGGGAAGGCCAGCAGAAAGATTTGCACTGGAAGAGCTAAGCCTGGATGCACATGGAATTGGCAAGTGCCAAGAGGACGCGGGGTGCAGATGATGCTGGAGGCTCAGTGAGGGGCACAAGGGACACCCCACACTCCCATGGGTGCCGCAACAAAAGACTGAAGCTCCAAAACCCACAGCCTTGGCCACAGGGGTGTCACGAGAATAGGGGCTCTGACGGTGAGAGCAGGGGCGCTACGTCCCCGGGCTGAGTCTCTGCTCTCCTGCCGCTCACCTGTTGAGCAGCTCTGCCCTGCAGCCACTGTGCCCTACCCCAGAGACGGCTGCATTTCCCTGCCACATCCGGCAAGTCTTCACTGTGCTCCAGGATGCTATTAGCATCCCTTTCTCCCCAGTTATTCTTCCCCAAAGCCCCCCAGATTCCCACTGCTGTCTGATTCGAAGCCTCACCCCTCCTTTCCAGCTACCCAGGGCTTGCACTCAAACTTAATGGGACCAGCTCAGCGGGACACTGAAATGGGAACTCGTTTGCCACTGTCTTTTGCTCTGCCTCTCAGGTTCAATTAGTTCCTGTGGCTGGGTCCCTGCAGGCTCTGCAGCGCGCTGGGTTGCTGCGGGGCAGGCGGCCGGCGGAGCCGGGGCCGCACACGGGAGGGCTCACCGCCTGCGCCGGGGAAGATGTGCGAGACGCAGGAGGATAGGAGCGGAGCGAAACAGGAGGGAGAAGCCAGCTACAAATAATTTAAAGTGAGATTCACGCACGGCTGAACTGATGGCAGAAGAAGTGGGAAAAGGAATGAAAGATTAAAGGGGTCTGTCACTTTGGGTTACAAACAATGATCCTACGAGCACATCGCGTTCCCAGGCACGGCGAGGATGGGGCAGGGTGCAGAGTAGAGACCTGGTCCCCCGAGGTCGGATGCATTAATGCCTGCAGCCCGCACCCTTGCTTCCCCCACTTCCCTCTCCTCCTGCCTCCGGGGCTCGGGAGAGGCACCCAGCATCCCCGCTCTAACGGCTGGGCGGGTTGTCAGCACCTGCAAGGCGGCGCTCAGAGCGCCGGCTCCCTTACTGAGGGGCACGGGAGGGCTGGGAACGAGCCAGGACACCAGCCTCGGGGTCTGCTCTGTGCCAAAACAGCTCTGAGCAACTGCGCAGGATGGCCTGAGTGGCTGGGACTCATCCCTTTCCCTCTGCCCCCAAAAGAGGAGGGCTGTGAGGAGCCTATTTGCTCTGCTGCTCCATCCCTGCCTCTGTCTGTGCCTGGTGCTGGGCCCTGGGCTCTGACATAGCTGGCCAGCTGTGGCCAGGGGTGGGATGCCACCAGTGCTGGACGCCTGGGCTGAGCCATGCCCGGGAGCTTCCCGGGAGCCAGCGCGTGGGGCTGTCCCAAGGCACACCAGCCCTGCTCCTCTCTGCCACCACACAAACCACAAGGCCTGGACTCACAGCCCAGGAAGGCAGAGGGTCCATTGCGGCCCTGACAGCCAGGAAGGGCTGCAGTGGCACCTGGGAGACAAGCGAGCCACGAGGCAGACAGGCTGGATATGGCCTCTTGTCACCGGCCACAGCCAGCCCTGGTGGGCTCAGAGAGAGATGCAGAAACTCAATGCTGGATCACAGCAAAGGGGAAGCAGTGAGAGCCCCCCGGCATTTCCCTGCCTCTCCAGCGGGGACCACATAAGTGCTGCGCTTTGCACCCTCGGGTCCTCTGCCCAGCTACCTTGCCCTGCAGCGCTGCTGGGCATCAGCAGCCTCTTCCTTGCCTGCAAGTTTTTCCTTTCCTCTTATTACCACTTCCAATCATCTTTCATCCAACTCCTTCTCCCCAAACCAGCATTTCAGAGAGTGGAGAGCAGGGGTCACCACAGGGGGTCCCATGGAGATGCCACCAGCATCCTGAAAGCAAACACCCTGATCCTCAGCCATGCAGGGAGATGGAGGAATCCCACTGCCCCTGTGGATGGTGCAATTGCTTCACACATGTTGTCCATGGCTCCACCAGCTCTTGGACCCATCGTGATGGGGCTGGGGAGCCTCCCTGGCCTTGGAGATGGAGCAGGGGCTGTACTGCACAGTGCTATGAGGAAGCCACAATCCCTTGGCCTGCCGAGCCCTGCACTCTGCTGTGTCCTGGTGCTGAGGGCTATGCAGGTACCTGCTGCCCGGCCTCTGGCTTCTCCACTGCTCGCTGCACTGCCACATTGCTGACCGAGCTTCTCTAACAGCCTGGTGGGACCCACTTTGTCCAAGGGAGGAGGGAGGCTAGCCTGGGTGTGTTAGCAACGCAAGCCTCCCGCCGCCTGAGGAGACTAGAAGTGAACCACATTCCTAAGAGGACCTGGAAATACTGCGATGCTTATCAGGGCTCATGGTCCCCACCCTCCCTGCCAGGCCCTAACCTCCACACAGGCCGTGGAGGGAAGAGACGCTGCCCTTCTTGAGGCACCAGCGTGCTAACGGGCTCCATGTCAAGGGGGATGTGGCCACGCTGTGGCAAGGCACTCAGCCCTCACACCACATCTGCTCCAAGGAAACGGCCTCTCCAGAACAATATGGCCCATCTGGCCTGGACACAGGACCTACAAGCACCGAAACTGTACTCCCTTCCCCAGCCATCTCCCTACCAGCCCCATCTGCCACGGCTATCCGGAGGCTCATGCCAGTGCATCCCCCTCAAAGGCGCTTAAGCCTCAAGCTGCCAAAATGAAGATCTTGAGGCTGGACTCCTGTCATTCCTCAGGGACCCTCCACAGCAGGGAGATAAGAGGCTGAAGGGTGCGGCAGGAAGTTTGCGGAAGGGGTGACCAAGGGGTGACCTCTTTGCTGGGTGCCTGGCCTAGCTTACCTCCCTGAGGGAGCAGATGAGCAGGGTCTTTGGGAGTTTTCTCCTTCCTCAGAAGCTGGAGGAACAAACTGTTTGCAGGGCACCTTGCCTGCCTTCAGCACCCTGCTGGACTGGCACTGGCACCACCTTGGCCTCTCCTGCCCATGGCCTGGGGCACATGGGTGATTTGGTCTGTGCCAAGGCCCAGGCTTCGTGCAAGGTACTTAGTTGAGAAGACCTACAGGTAGGGCCAAGTCCTGCAGAAGGCCCGTCAGGTCACAACCTCTGCAGGACTCAGGGCAGCCCCTCTGCACCCACAGAGTCCAATGGTGAGGAAAAGAGCGTCAATGCAGGGTCTACAGGGAGGCTCTGACATGCCCAGCGCTAGCCATGACTTCAAGAAAGATGAGGAGAATCTGGCACCAGGGCTTGGCAAACTAAGGAGGTGAAGCACTGGGCAGCTGCACTGGCTGTGGGATCTGCAGGCAGGTGAGCCCCTAGCACAGCCTGTCTCCCTGCTCCCTAGGTCACTCTGCCACCATGCTCCTAACTCGCTCAAAACAGACAGCTCTCAGCTCTCTACATTGGGGACCCAACATAAGGGCAGGACACCGGGGTGATGGGCTCACAGAGCTACATCCTACTAGCCAGGAGGGTGCCTCATCGCCACAATGCACTGAAACGCCATCCCCATATGCACAAGATGTGAATAAGCCAGGAAGTTCATCGCGTCCAACAAACCAAATCTGAAGAGCACCGTATCTGCCTTCAGACTCTACAACTGTGCTGCACGTCCTCTCCTAAGTCTCCCCGTGACACTGCTCCAAACACCGACTGCATGAGATGGGGGAAGATGCTGGAAAGCAGCAGGGTCTGAAAACAGCCAGGGGCACAGCTGGGGCCAGGCATGGAGGAACAGCTCAGGACAAGGGCAAGCGTAGGTACAAAGGTGCTTGGAGAAGAGCCCAGCTGTGCTCCAGCACACTGCTGCAGTAGCTGCTTGGTCTGGCAGACCCAAAGGTCTCTCAAGCTCTGGCTCACTGCCTACCTTCACCCAGGGGGATGCTGAAGATCTGATCTGGCCCCGTAAGCCGGGGAAGAGCCATGGGCACCAGCAGAGGGCCCAAGAGAAGCCTGTATGGGCTCCAGAGAGTGGCAGCTGAGCAGAGGAAGAGGAAGAGGAATGAGGCTGACTGGCGCTTACCTCTGCTGAAGATGATGCTCTCGTAGGGGATCTTGTTCTTCGTCTCGAGGCTGGAGCAGTTCCAGCGCTGGTCCCTGAACTGGTGCTGGCACTCGTGGATGGCAATCTGGATGCCCTGGATGGCCGAGGCTGTCACGTCGGGGTGGCGCCCACACCCCCCCAGCTGCCGCCGCGTCAGCCCCGGCAGGGTCAGGCACACCGTGTTGGCATTCAGCACTGGCTCCGATGGCAGCTTCAGGCCCAGGATTTCATTGGAGCAGGAGCTTGGAGGGAAAGGGAAGCCTGTGAGCCCAGAGCAAGCAAAGTGCTGATCACTTGCTTCCCTTTCAGGGAGGAGGAAGAGCTTAGGGAGGACATGGGAGGGGGGACACCCATCTCCCCATACTGTGCCTGCTGCCTGCAAGAGCGACACACCAGGGCAGGCTGGAATGGCAGAGAGGGAGGAAAAAGATGAGGAGCCCTGGGA